CAGGCTGGTTTGTGTCCTGGGGACTGGGATTTAGACCGGAGGCTCCACTTGGGAACCTTGGACAGGATCCCATACACACAAAGCAAGGTTTGAACTTGAGTGTTGGATATGAGGCATTCTGATATTGACAGGGATGAGGATTCATTTCTGGAGGAGGAATACTAATAATAACAATACAGGCACGGGACTTCCCTGGCTGTCCGGTGGTTAAGACTCTGCACTTCCACTGCAGGGGGCACGGGTTCGATCCCTGGTCAGGGAACTGAGATCCCACATGCTGCGTGATGCGGCCAAAAAAAAATTAAGAAAAAAATACAGGCAGAAAGCTGTGGGTTTGCAGGGTCAGGCACGATTTCCCCATCGGCAGGCTTCCACTCCAGCCACACCTCTCTCTCAAGATACTCAGGGAGGGCGGCATGCTCCTCTGGGAATCTGAGCCCGTCTGCTGCCCTCCTACACCACAAGCCCACAGGTTGGCTGTGGTTGGCTCCCACCCGAGATGCCGGGCAAGCCAGGGACTTGGGAGTCTGCCTGCAGGGCCTGGTGAGAGGATCAGCCAGTTGGTTCCTGCATTGCTTGACCCCAGGATATCCTAAGTGAGGGTGGGCAGTAATAGGTCGGACCTTTGTGTGGGTGTGAGAGCCAGAGAGAAGAGCTGGAAGGCCAGTCCCTGGAGAGCAGAGGTCAGGACAGCCCTGGCCCTCCAGGTTATTCTGGTACCAAAACGCCTGACTTTCGCATGCTGGCTAGTTTACGATCTGCAGCTGGCCGCCCCTACAAGGGTGCGCGGGTGTGAGCAGGAAGTGAGCAGCCGCTGCCCCAAACGGGATATGGAACCTCGGCTTGGCTGGGCTTGCGCACTAGAGGCGTTGTGTCTGCTCTGGCGTCAGAAGGCAGGATGTCCCGTGTACAGGTTGGATATACAGCCCAGGGTTTTCTATGTAGGTGCAGTGGGAGAAACAGGGTGCAAAGGAGCTGAGGGTGCTGCATGGAGAAAGCGGCAGCTGAGAACTTGGGGCAAAGTTCTGCAACCTGCAACCAAAGGAGAAGTAGGGGTCCCTGCTATTTATTGGGCACCTGCCTTGTGCTAGGCACTCCACCTGTTACATCTAACCATTCCAACCATGCTTCCCATTTGTTAGATGAAGAAACTGCAGTTCAGAGAGGTTATGTACCTTACCCAAGGTCACACAGCTAGTGAGAGTTGGAGTCAAGACTTAAACTCTGGCTTCCCTGAGTCTATAACAACCAAAACTTTGCTCACCATTTTTTTTTTTTTCTTTTTTGGCTACACCGTGTGGCATGCGGGATCTTGGTTCCCTGACCAGGGATTGAACCCGTGCCCCCTGCAGTGGAAGCTCAGAGTCCTAACCACTGGACCGCCAGGGAATTCCCTTTGCTCACCTTTTGTTGCTGAATGTGTATATGAGAGTTTGGTGGGGGGGGGTGTCAGAGCATTTATGATTCAACAATGGCTGCCCTTAAGTTTTTTTTTTTTTTTTTTTTTTTTTTTTTTTGGAT